GGAATATGCAAAGATAATTAAACAAGTTTACCCCATTTTATTTAGATTCCTCTGCCTAATATTACAGCTTAAAGAACAGTTTCACAGGTAGTCTAGTAGGAACAACTCAGTCCAAGACCTGATTTACAACATAAAATTTTTAACCCATTCTAATTAATTTCTCTATGAAACAGAATCTTTCTGAGCAGTGAAAATCTTGCTAAGCCCAGACTGTGACCAAAGAAGCAGTAGCTCTGTAAAAGGATAGCTGCAGGTGCAGTATGTGTGGCCATTTGTAAGTCCCCAATTTAAGCAAATTTACTTGGTGTATCTTGCATGCTGCTACTTTAAACCTCAAATTTCTCACATTGGCCTAACATGTTCCTACTTTCTTTAGGATAAATATTTTCAGTGAACCACATTCAGCTCCAATTTATGGTACCAGAAATCCCATTTGTTTACATATGATATTTTTTCTGCAGTTTTCAGGCTCACATGCACATGGCAAAGTCCACACAAGGTTGCCCGCACAAAATTGTGCCGCATTCCCACTCCTGCTAAGTATTTCTAGCAGCATGTCAATCTAACTTCAGCTACTGAAGTGTTTGCTTTTCATACGTTCTTCTTTCCTTTTTTATACATCTTAAAATGTAAAAATGAAGTGCTTAGAAGATCTTAAATAAATATAAACTCCCATGTTATTACAGGCCAGGCACACAACCCCCACACCCCCCCCAGTATTCCCTAGGATCACAGAACAGGTTGGGTTGAAAGGGGCCTTTAAAGACTATCTAGTTTTTAAAGTTTAAAGACTATCTAGTCCAACCCTCCTGCAGTGAACAGGAACATCTGCAACTAGACCAGGTTGCTCAGAGCTCTGTCCAGCCTGACCTTGGATGTTTCCAGGGATAAGACATCGTCCACCTTTCTGGGCAACTCCTGCCAGTGTTTCACCACCCTCACTGTAAAATTTTCTTCCTTATATCTAGTTTAAATCTACATTCTTTTAGTTCAAAGCCATTACCCCTTGTCCTATCACAATTTGGATCTCAATTAGCACAAGAGAGAAGCAATTTATTCATCCTGCACTGTACGCCTAGGACTGGAATAGGCTTTGGTACCTTTGGTTTCTGTTTCAAAAAAGTGAAGGTAAACAACTTCAACACCTACAATTCAAAAGAAAAGCGAGCAGGGATGTACACAGCACACAGTGAACTCTTTTTGGAGAACAGGTGCTGCTTATCCTATGGAAAATCTTCATCTCCTGTGTAGCACAAGCTGAAAAATAATGACTGGAACCCAGGAAGCCATTTTAATTGAACTGAAGAAGTTTTGAGTTTTTTTTTTTTTGTTATGATCTGGGAGACACTAGTGTCAGTTATGCACTAGAAATGTTCAGTGATCCAAACTGCAGTATTTTCGGAGTACTAATGTGACCTCAGCACTTCTCCAGTGACAGGTTTCCAACTGCGCTGCATAAAATCTGTCTGAAATTCATTTCAGGAATACCATGGCTTACAGAGGCTTGTGAAGGAGGATGGGAAACAGGATGGAAACAGGGCCTTCAATTGGGGTTATCCAGGGCCCTGTGAAGCTAAGGCTTGAGTATTTCCTTCGGTAGAGTCCACCAGTTCTGAGCAACCTCTTCCAAAATCTGGCCCTTCCTATGGCAAAGAATATTCTTCTGATATCCAGACAGAATTTCCTATGAAGCAACTTGTGCCTATTGCCTCTTGTCCTGCCTGAACACAAATAACATCCATGAAAAGGGTGTTTCCTGTCTTCTCTGACTACCTTTGAAGTGTTGGGAGGCTATGGTCAGATCTCTTAGATCTCTCTAAGCCACCTTTTCCCCAGGCTGGAAAAACCCATTTCCCTCAACTTTTCTTCATATGTCAAATCTTTCAAGCTCTGACCACCTTGGGGGCCCTCCAATGGACCCTCTCCAAATCTTCCAGAGTCTGTGGGACAAGAACTGGACAAAAGTGCCAAGAAGAGTAGAATAAACACACCCCTTAACCTGCTGGGAGCAGAGAGGTAGAAGAGAGGCATCACTGCACTTGCTAGGGTCTCTCAAAGGTAAGAGGACTTTATTGTGACTTCAAGTTGTTAGGTTTTTTGGGGTGTTGTTTTTTATTTATTTAAACCACAATGGCCCTGCTGTTTCGGGCTTCTCTCCCAGAAACAGTGCATACAGCAGCTCTTGGCTAACTCAGCATTTCTGCACCACATTAGTTATTACTCCTACATGCCCAAAAATCTCAGTAGCCACACAAAATGAATGCAAAACAGTAGTTAACGCTTCAACACAATTTGAACTTGAGGAAAAAAGATTACCTCCCTTTTTAAGTGGAATGGATGCTTATGTTCTTACAGTACTGCTGAAGACTTTGTGCTCATGGGGGGGGGGGTACCAGAAGAGGAGTGCACCTATTCGGACAACTGTTCCCATCCACCTGCACTGCCACTGAAAGATAAAACTGTGGGTTTCAGTGTTACTTGGTTACTTCCATTGAAAGGAGCTGGGTTTGCTCAGTAGCTATTGAGTACATTCCTCAGATTCTTTTCTTCTGTGCTTTGTAAGTCAGGATTGGAAGTCACTGCTGAAAGCACAGGAAGTTAAAAATCACCTTTTTCAGCCTCCTGTCACCTCAGGGTACTTCTGTGGTAAAGTGACCCAGGCTTGAACAATGGCACAGCTTTTATAGCCCCATCACAAAACAATTTACAAAATAATGAATTACTGCATTTACCCTATCCTCAGCTGGCACTGCTGAGTTTTTAACTAGCCATGCCCATTCACAGGAGCACAAGTTGTGCCCCTGGTAATAAGAGAGCCCAGCTGTCATAGGGTCCAAGTGCTCCTCTGGTGCTCAGTGAAAGCACGTGGTTTAAAAAAAAACATCATGATGCATCTTATCCACTGAAATTAAACAAAGGTTTTCCATTGACTTTAAAGGGAGAAAGGTTCAAAAATACATTTTCAACACTCACCTCCCTACTTAGAACATTAATTAAACCTGCCAGGGGAATTTAAAATTCAAATCTGGGCAGCCAGGACACAACTTTGCCCTGCACTGATTCAGTGTAAAATCTCAGATGATTAAAATGTTTCACAGCGATTGTGACCCACATGAAAAACATTTTAAAGTATTTGCCCTATATTAAATATTTAACCATACTGGAAATGAAAAATAGTTAAATCGTTTACATGCAAATTCTATAAGAGAATAAATCCTATTTAGGGCCAGTTGCTCCCATAGTATGTGGGGCAACATGCCGGTCACCACCTGTGATTCAATCCCTGCCTCAAGTGCAACAGGTTGAGTTCAGGCAGCACCTCAGTAACATCCGAAGTCACAGGAAAAAGCCACCCTCCACTGCTTGCTGGAAACCAACTTTGGTCTGTACAGTTTCAAACTCACATTTCAGAAGCCTATAACAGAGGAAGAGGGCCCCAAGTGTTATATGTGAAAAGTCAACTATCAAACAACAAGGCACCAACTTTCATATCAGGTGAAGGACCACGGGGCAGACTAGGCTCCAAGAGAAGACAGTGTTAAACTAGGTCAGGAAACAGAAGGCAGGATTCCTCCTGCCTCCTCTCGAGTCAGGCACCATCCTCCCAGAGCTTTCCAAGCTGAGGTAGCCATTTCATTTTATAGCCTGCAACATATAGTTTTTTCCTCTCCAGTTTTATTTCCAACTACATATTTTTGTAGGACTTCTGCCCTTACCTATATAAAAACTGGCTTTAATTATCCTAGTGAATAAGTGCTTCTGATTTTCTCGTAGCTACTTAAAAAAACAAACCTAAAAAGGAAAAAATCCAGAAAACTCTATTTTTGCATTCATTTAAAGGTATTCAGTTCAAAATTAGATGAAAGTGTTTGAGTTTTTTCAAAGCAAGTTTTTAACCAGAAAGTCACAAGAAATTATGAGAGCACTGCTAAAGGTCAGCACGCTATAACTGAATTCCACCCTGTTAAATTACTGCTATATTATGCTTCCAAGAAAATCTCTATTCAACATCTGTTTTCTTTACAGGAGATCATTAGGAACAGACAGGCCGAGTCATAGCCTCATTCTGCACTTACCTCAGGATTTGAAAGGACAAATCTGTCCTTCCCTATACAGAGGACTAGATTAAAACATGGCCTTGTTGGACTTGTCCACTACTTTGATGTTTTCAAGTTCCTTTGGAGTCAGACATTACCCAAAAATCAGTATTAACGAGGAAAACAGGAAGGCAGGCTGGAGACAAGCCGGCTCTGCTTCTCGTCATTTACACTTGCTGCCGTTCAGGCTAATTTTTTATCAAGTCAGAGCAGATTTCTCTCTATGACATAGTTGGCAAAAAGCTTCCCCAAAAAATCAGTGGCTGACGGTCAAATTAGGAATCAGTGTGGATCCCAACATCCTGCTACTTCTGATGAGGTCAAACCCAGCAACAGACCTGAACACATGCACATTGCAAAGAGCTCCGTTCGCAATTAAAGTTAAGGAAAACAACTGTTATTCTCTAGCATGTGCTAAAACAAGTGTTTTCCAGCACCATTGTTTTGTTTTTTGTGAGATAAACACACAAAATATGGAGACATCTGGATATTTCAAGATCAGTATGGTTATGGATACAAATGTCATAGCAAAGCAGTGGCCAGCTCTGCAGAACGATGGGCCTCTTAGGGCGCAATATGAAACAACTGGACCAGAAGCTTCACACGTTTCTCCCACCACTGCTGTCACTTCCATCTTCCTCCTGTTCTTCCTCTCTCACCATTTTTATCCCTCTTCCTAATCCTGACACATATGCAAGGCAAAGACTAAGAGGAAAATGGGATCTTATGGCTGGGGTGAAAGTTGTGAAACTGTTCAACTGGGTTGTCATTACCCTCGTGTTTGATGCCACAGAGAAGCGTTTTCACAAACCAAATCCCAGGGCTTATAGGAAACAAGGGATAAAATGAGCATGAGTGTGCCTGGAGCAACAAAGTGCTTGCAAATTTGGGGAAACACCCTACCTGTGTTTTACTGTACCTCCAGATGCTCTTCCATCCCAGACCCAAGAAAGCAGCACCCATCATAGGAGCCTGGCCAACAAGCTGTGGAGACACTGACTCAAATAATCTGGTTTTAAAGACTGATGAAATTACATAATGCAATAAAGATAAAAACAAAAAAGGAATATCCAAACAGATCATCATGGCCATCCAAAGTGCAATACTGCTTTTTTTTGTTGAACAGTTTTCAAAAGACCATGTTGATTGTTTCTCTTATCCTTTGCACATCATGAACATCATGTTGCTACAAAGAAGATAATTTTAAAATGGAAGTTCAACTGGAGGCTAAGTATAGGAAAAAGTTAAGCTTACTGTGAGATTTTTGTAATGGCTTATTTTGCCTTTGAGTTATTTGTGACCTTGAAAAAGATCTCTATACCTCAGTTTACCCACTCGCAGGATGTTCTCTTAACCCTGCCAATGGGTATATAGTTTATACCCAATAATGTTTTTTGTGATACTGACCAGTGTAGTTGAACTATTGACACTTTGAACTCACATCATTGAACCTGCAGTGTTCAGGAAAGAGAAAAAAAAAAAATACGGTAAAGAATTGAGGTAGCATGGAATAGAGGGGGAACGGGTAGACTATGAGAAAACTGGTACAGCTTCATTTGACAAATGAGGGAGAGGATACAAAGCAGAACTCAGGAAAGAGCAGAGAGGATAAGGGAAGAAGAAAGATTTATGAAATGGTGCTTCAAAGACCAGTGAGATAAAGGGTTACCCACAAATGCACATGCCCATAAGGATGGAACTTGGTTTATATTTTTCAGTGACAGGGATTGTCCAAAATTGAAAGAGCGGAGTCTGCAAACTCAGCTACAGCTCCCCTATTTCGTTAAGCAGCTGCTAATTGAGAGATCATTCTACCCAAAGGTGACTGCAGTTTTCACACTGCACACATTGACTGGATGTAAAACAGCCTTTCCAAGGGCCTGAAACTTCCTATTAAATTTGCATTGTTTTGTATGATACCTTGCTTTGTTTCTTCCTAGAGTGGAAAAGACAGTTCAACCACCTCCTCCTAAATAGAACTAACATTTTAGATAAACTAAATGCAAAAAAGTGATACCATTTCTATATTTCTTCCAGGCAAAAAGACAAGTCAGATGTCACATTATGAGGCTTTAAATGTAAGTGCCTCCCTTGTTTCCCTCCTATAGCTGTTTTTAATCTAAATTATGAGGTTGTTTGCAGTAACAGATCTCAAACAGAGCATAAGGCAAACTAAAGACATAAGCTTTAGATTTTGACTTTTAAAAGTGTGGACAAGACACAGTGGCACAATAGTATACAGAAACAAGGACTTTCAGCAGCAAATAAGCACGAGGGTCCCTGGGATGGAACAGTCAAACCTCACATTTGCTGGCAGGCCCCTTAACTCAAATCCTGTGTCAGCAATAAGCTATTGACATTGCACTGACCATAGAAGCTCCTTCTGAAGGGAGCATTGACATATTTGGGCAGATTGCTAACAGGCAAGTGTTTGCAGTATCAGTAGCAAAAGCAAAGCTTTAATGAGCAGAAAGCTTGACCCATCCTTTGGTCCCTTTGAGGCAGAGCTGAAGCAGGTTGGGAAGGCAGGATGCAGTAGCACACTGTTAGACCTGTTGTTTGAAGAAAGCTAAGTGTAATGCCATTGAAAGGACCTCACTTCTTTCATATTATGGTAGAGAAGTTGAAATTCATGACCTTTGAAGAGAAATCCATCTGGAGACTTGTTATTTTCACAGAGATGAAACAATTACAAGTAATCGCCTTTTCCTTTATCCCTCAAGGAAGTTTCAAGCTTAGTTAACAACATCAGTTATTTCTATAGCAACAGACAGATATAAACATAGGATTATAACATTCAACAAGGGATCAAGAAAAGGAAGAAACAGGACTTGAAGAGAGAAATGCCTGGAAAAGCTGCAAAAAAATGCAGAAAGTTACTAATTTTCTTAAAATGCATATTTCTTCTTGCTCCTTGCAAGACTCCTACAAACATCATACTTTTCCGGCAAGACTTTCATTTCAAAGGACAAAAAAGACAGAGAACTGTAGATTATTTTTTGCTGCAGGCATAATGGAGTCAATCAAATAGTTGGGATGGCTAACACTTGGGACAAGGTATGATGGGGTACCTTGCCTGGGGTGCTTCACAGCTCACAATTTACACTATGAAGCATGTACTTTTATTCTACAAATTTTGCTAGAGAGATGGGATTTCAAGCACATATGTACAAGTGAATTTAAAATTCCCACATACACTTACGTATGCTAAATGGTGATAAGCAGGTAATTCTGGTGTTGTCAAACAAAACCTGATGTTTGGGGGAAAGCACAGATGATGCCTTTTAAAGTGAGCCAAATAACTATTCCTTTTCATCCACAGAGCCATTTGCACCACTCCCAAACGTGATCAAGCTCTACTAACACAACAGCAGCAAATCCTTTGCTGCTTGTCCCAGTGAAATCACTGCGAGAAGCAACACACAGCGCCGAACTGAGCCCTATATAAAATGTAGGTATTTCATCTCCCTTTTTTAACTTCCACTTTCACTGTCAGGATCAGCCAACCCCTTTTGGCAGGAGGAACCAAGTGCACAGCTGCCCAAGAGAGTGCCCAAGGGCTCATCTCCCATCACAGCTTGGCCAGGGAACACGCCAAAGCCATTTCAGGAGAGCTAACCCCAGCCCCAGCAGCAGAGTATGTATGTCAGCCCGAGTCAAACGCACAGGGCCAGGGCTCAGTTGCTGCTCAGGCAGATTCGTTTCAAGCTGGTCTGGGTGTGTCTGCAGGAGCTGCAGTTACTCCTTCGGATTGCCCTGCAGCAGCCATTTCCCAGGAACATCTTTCTCCTTGGGTCGCAGCCAAAGGAGGAAAAGTTGCTTTGGTGGTGGCTTTTTTTAATCACCACCCTCACTTACCCCAGGAGAGAGAAAGTAAGAAAGGAAAAGCCCAGCCTTTGCAGAGACTAGCAACAGGTCTGAGGGTGAGCCAATTAGCAAAAGGATCTGACACAAGGCAGGTGCGTGGGAAGCTCCCTGCAAATGAAACACAAGCCAGGCCATAAAGAAATCTTTGGGTCCTCATAGTTAATCCATACTGAGATAGTTAGGGTTATTCATCCTGGGCCATAAGCAATGAGGTCAGGAAAAGTATTCGTTTGTAGAGATAGGAAGGAGGAGAGGCACAGCCCACTGAAGAGCGATGCAAGAGCACCCGCTGCTGGGCAGAGGTCTGACCCTACCACCAGACAGTTTGTCAGGAAGCCAATAACAGTGATAGCAATGAAATAATTGGGTAATATTGCCTAGCATTAGAAGTGAAAGGAAGAACCATTAGGTATCTTCTGAAGCTTAAAGTAACTATTTACTTTCAAAGCAGAGTAGGATTGAAAGCAGCACATAGTGCAGACAGGCCTAGAGGCAGGAAGTTTTTTGCATCCTTCAGCACCTTTTGCCAAGAGAGATGCTGTGCTTCATTATTCACTGGTAATATGTCAGGCCCCGGAGCACCTTTTTGCTTTTAAAAAGCCCCAGTGGAAGTTCTCGTTTTGCTGTCCAGGTACAAAATTTGCCTTTTGGAAGTCAGGTGCGAAAGCCCTGTGCAATCTCACCCATAAGTCACCTGCTGATGCAGTGACACCAAATAGGCAGAGCAGACCAACAGAGTCATCACTAAGTTAACAATGACAATTCCTTGCATGCCTGGAATTACTCTCATCACTTATAAAACTATAAAAACTAAACTACTGCTTTGCACATAAATAATTCACCCAGGGACTGACTTACTGTACAACTGTCAATGTATTTACAGTGCTCACATGCTTCCCCTATTGAAACAATTTCAGTTGCCAGTAAGGAAGGACAAAAGGAAGGATGACTATTTTCCAAAGTGGAAGCTGTCATAACATTTAACCTTTTCTCTACTCTTCCACTGACATGCACCCCACCCCGCTGCTGGTTCCCACACCCCAGATATGAAATCAGATAAGGAGGTCCCCTGCTCCCTGCTTCCTGATGGTGAGTCACAGCTCTGAGTCAGCCTTTGTGTTCTAAGGAACCTGGAAGGCTTTGAAACCCACTGTTGATTTTGGCAAAGCCACCTCTTCTTGCTTTGAGTGTAAAACAATTTACACACATCATTTTTGGTCTGAAAATAGCCACTGAAATGAAAACAGCAAGAGAATGACCAAAGATTTCCTTGTACTGGAGTCACTGCACAGCAGCAGCAAAACCTCTCTGTCCTGGGGCACAGTTGCAATGAAACTGAGCCACAAAACACTTAGGTCTTGAGGATTCAGGCAGGACGTATTCACAGCTCCTGACTGTTTTATGCACGAAAGCTACTACTATTTATGACTTTGGATACAACCACCTCTAAAGCAACTGCTCACCTCTTCAGTGATGACCAAGAAAGGTGTCTTCACCTGCTAGGTCACTGTTCCTATATGGTCAATTCCAGTCCTGACATCGGTAAGCGAAACCAGACTACTCTTTTCAGATGTTTCAGCTTAGCACAAGGAGATCCAGACAGGAGAAGTGTCTTTTGATAAACAAGAGTTGTCTCCATCTCCATTGAGACATGCCAGTAACAAGGGAAGCTGGCAAATCCACGTCTCAAGAATCCATGTCTGTCTCTGCCTAGTCCTTCCCTGTCTCCACAGATCAGCACTTTGTATATATATAGAAAAAAAAATCTTGTCATTCTTGGCAGAGGAAATCTCTCATATTTTTATTAACATGTTTAAACATTACATCAGCTGCTCATCTCAGACATTCATCTGCATCATCCACTTCTGTGCTTACTTCTGTATGTTTCATAAAACCTTTAATTAAATTAACTATGCTTTAATATGTATATTTTAATTTCCTTTTGCAATCGTATTTCAGACATCTTTTGATCTCAGATTGCAATTCCAAACTACACTCCTTCCCTTCATGTCTGTTTGGTAAACACCTTTGCTTGGGCCAGATTCATTAGCATTTTAATTATTTTCTCACTCCAGGACTTCTCTGCCACCCCTTCTTCCCCCAGTCTGGCAAATTAG